TCGTACATTTGAATAATTTCTTGAACAAAAAAACTTAACGTTACAGCGAGACGTGTTTCTATTGGTGGCCTTTATAGGACATATGATAGTATTACTAACCAAAGGAAACCCCGCCAGCCACAACGCCTGATATCGCGGTTCGTATTTGCATACTTAAGCGTGGACAGGAAAATTCGCGCCTCCGTAACTGTTTCGATATCGGAAAAGTAACGGTGGGATATGCAAACGTACGTGTTTCAAAATCATTATCGGATACATAAACGTGCATCTATCGGATTCTAATACCGGCAGTAATATTCCTTTATCGCAGAAACAAATATTATTTTTCTTATGCACGTTTCCACTAATACAGATTAACTTTAATCTCTCTCGTTCCAACTTATTCTTCCTCTTTTTCATATTTTTATTCTACTGTAGATAAGCTTACCTTTTCTACTGTAGATAAGCTTTAATCTTGATTTATTCTTCCTTTTAATAATTTTTTTTAACTCTAAGAATAATATTAAAAAAGGATAAAAATTAAATCAAATCGAGATTAAAGTCGATTTAAATTTCTACAACAAAGCAATATCATTGCAAAAAATTAAACAAAAGTATCGTCGATACCGAATTTAAAAGGAACGGTAAAATTACACAGATTATCTATTTTGGAAGAGCGATGCCAGGTCCATTTCACCGAGTCGAGCGTTAAAAGGGTTAAAAGCTGAAACACGATAAGAAGACAGGAAGATACTCACCGTAAAAATATCCTCGATTCGACAACCTCCTCCCGCTCGTTTTTTTTCCCACGTCGCGATCCGCAGGTAAGATAAGTTCAGACGGATGAATTCAGCTGGCTCGCTCGGTGCGGCTGCGGGTGGCTGCGGGGAGAGTCGACTAAGTCGGCTGCGCGGCTGGCCGTTGCCCCGAGTAGCCCGAGTGTCAAACGGCACGGACAATGGCTCGTCCTGACGCTCGCTCGCGCCGGCCACATGTCAGGGACGCGTGCTCTGAGTGCTCGGCGAATGCCCAGGAAGGGGGAGAGAAAGAGAGAAAAAGGGGAGATCTCGGTGTTTCTTTCACACCCGTGAGCGCCCTCCGCACTTTCGCAGCGACGCCACGAGAGACGCGTTCCCTCGCGTATATATGTACACGCTACACCCCTTCAACTTGAACGTGGAAAAGGCGCGCGTCCCTGTACACTGTACACGCCTGTACACGCCGCGCGACGCACCGTAACGGACTGAACCGACTGAAGCGAGCGCGTAATACTCTCCGAACTCCGAGCCGCCGTACCGAGCCGAACCGAATCGAATCGAATCGCCGACATCGCCGTGCCGCGCCGCGGTAGACGCGAGTACGCCCGATCGCCGCGCGACCGGCCGCCGAGACCCGAGACTGACCGAAACGCGCGGAATATTGTCCCCTCGTCCCTTCTCTGTCTCTCTCACTCACTCTCTCTCTCTCTCTCTCTCTCTCTCTCTGTCTTTCTTTCTTTCTTTGTCTCGAGTTTCTCGTTTTGTCCGTCGCTTATTCCACT